TCTCCATCTCTCTCTCACACACACACACACACACACACACACACACATTATTGTTTTTTTTTTCCTCTGGAGAACCACAAATACACAGGTATTCCTCCTCTTACCTACTCAAGAAAGTATGTTCTCACAAAGACCTGTACGTTTATAAACCTTTATAACAACACAAAATTTTCATCAACAGATGAATAGGAAAACAGGAGTGGACTATTGACACAGACAACATGGGAAAAGCTAGAAAACACCATGCTGAGCGAGAGAAGACAGTAACAAGAGTATGTTCTATTTAATTCCATGTATATGAAATTCTAGAAAGGATAAATCTAACACGGAGTGACATAAAGTGAAACAGACTAACATTCGCTCAGAGCCAGGGTAAGTGAGGACTTTGTGACATGGAGAATACTAGAGTTTTGGAGATGATGGAAATGTTCCATGTTCCAATTGTCATCACTTTTACACAGGTGTGTAAATTTGTCAAAACTCATCAAAATATACACATAAAGTTGATGCATTTTATTCTAGGTAAATTATCTCTCAATGAAACTGATATAAAATAAATGCTTTTATTATTTTACAACTAATACTAAATAAGAAAACCTAACAGAAAACAACTATAAATATCCAGAACAATGTAATTATAATAAGGTTACTTTGAGGATTAAATGTAAAAATTATACATTAAAAACAATATAAATATCAAATGCAGTGTAAATATTGTTTTCATGCTATAAAAATAACCAAAACATTTTTCTGGAAATAGTTTTCATTTTATTGTATGCACTGCGAAAACTTCCTTCTTGTGTTGAAACAACCATGTCCATGGAGCCTCCTTGCCCTTGTAGTTCTACTTTACTACTTGTCTCTGATTTGTAGGAATCCATTTAACAAAAAGTAATTCTATACCTCCTATGTTCCAGGATAATATGGAAATATCTGATACTCTACATAGTTAAACATGAAAGTCCGTTTAGTAAAATATTTACAAAAATTATATGACAGAAGAAGAGCCAAGTAAAATACTTGATCCTCGTACTGAACACGCATGCTGCAAGGAGTAATGCAATTTTGAACACTTATGCATGTGCGTGCATATGCAAGCAGACACATAAACAGAATTTTTGCAGCAAAAATAGTTTTTTTTTATTTTATTTTTACTTTTTTAAACATTGCCAGAGAACAGCTGACCTACCTGTGTTGAACATAGAAGAATGGCTCCCCAAGGAACTTGTATCCCACATGATTAAATAACTACTCTGTCAGGGTTCCTTATTAAAATTATCCATAAATACAAATATCCATAAATTATTCATAAATACAAGAGAGTTATCCTTACAGGTCTAAACCTGTCCACTAGGGAAAAATGTTCCTGCTAGTATAAAGGCTAAATCAAGGAGTTGCTCTCAGAATGGCACTCGGTTTTGTTTATAATAAAGTATTCTAAAGGTTTTTATCTTTTTAGCATAGAGGGATGCAAGAAAAAAATTTCTCGAAAGTGAAGTAAGGCCACCAATTCCCCTCCAAATCTCTGGCACTTCTTCAACATCACATTAGTATCCCCACTAGTTCTCCACATCTGGAAAGGTAAGAATCTTCCTGCTCACTTCTGTCTTCTGGCCTCCAAGTTATCTGAGCTCTTGATTATACTCACTTTCAATTATTTTCAATCACCAGGCCTGATCCTTATATTGAATTCCCAAACTTCATTGTTTCCAAGACATTTTTGTGTGGATGTTTTATTTCAGCAATGCATGATAGTAACTGTGGTTACTATCTTATGCACATCATTGTTTCAAATTTTACATACAAATTTCAATACATACAATTTTATCTGTAATTTTTAAAAAATTGACAGATAAAATTGTATGTATCCGTCATGTAAAACATGTTTTGAAGTATATATATGTTATGGAATGGTTAAATTTATCCAATTAAAGTATTTATTAACTCATATGGTCATCATTTTTGTGGTGAGAACACATCCATACTCATTTTCAAGAGTATGATATATCATCATTAACTATATTCACCAAGCTGTACAATAGATCTCTCAAATTTATTCCTTCTATCTAATTATAATTTTGTATGCTTTGACCAATATCTCTCCAAACCCCTATCCTCCAACTGCCTCAGCTTCTGGTAACAACAATAGTATAGAACACATAGCATAGAACCTTAATATTAGTTTCCATTCCTTCTTTCCTAGACAGATAGATCTATACCCTTACTTATACTCCAATATATAATCTCATTCAACTATCCTTAAACTATATGGGATGAAGAGCCAGACTTTTAATATTTGTATTTCCAATTTGCCATGAAATGGATACAAGCACATAGCTTGTGCCATATGTGACTCACCTCAAAAGTATAACAGCTTCCAGCCTTATTTATCATATTTTCATCCATAAAATTCCACTAATTACATTTATAGATACCCTGACAATGTCAGATTCCTGCAAAATTTTAGAAATTCTTGCTCTAAATCCCTGTTCTTATATCCTGGTAGACTGGTAACAAACGGTTGACAGAAGGGCACTAGTCCATCGACCACACTTGAAACAACACTAACCTAGTCCATATTTCCATCCAGCCTTCGAAAACCACATTCAGTTAACACAGTGATAAAATCACTGTGCCCAAAACAATTTTAACACTCTATAGCACTACTTCTAAAATTCATACAATGAAATAAAGGCCTAACATAAACTCATCTGTACAAATAAAAGCATATTAAATTGTATGCAATATGTTGACAGTTTAATACTACCTTTTTAAATAATGAAAACAGGGCATTATGATTCTCAGAAAGTTCTGTTTATACTGCTTTGACTAAATCACCATCTAATTGTGGCTGATTTTCCTCAAAATCTGGATTCAACTCAGATCCTATGAAAACAATTTTTTAATGTGCCCTGAATTGTTAATTTCCTTCATCTTTTCTAGTAGTCTCTTTACTATTTCTCTTATCTTTTTTACCATGAAATGGAATCTGGTGTTATAATTTTTACAGATTATTAAGTGTGTCTCTGGATTATAGCATAGCATAAGATATTAAGATGTATTAGAGCATATCAAAAGAATTTGTGAGTATAAAATCTGTTTGTTATTTATGTATCATCAGTTCATTATGTATCATTAACAATAAGGTCTAGCAACTTGTCTTGGTCCTTGTAATACATGTAAGGAGTAGGCCAACAAGCCGTTTTTCTAAATTTAATAAATTTAGCACATTTCTAGTCAATACTATATTACATTATCTCTAAACATTATCCAGAACAATGTAATTATAATAAGTTTACTTTGAGGATTAAATAAATGGCTATAATAGACACTCAATATTTGTTGAAAAACTAAATGAATGAACAGTGTATGTGATGTACAATAAACATTTCATTACTGATAGCTGTTATTATTAATAAATTATGAGAAATGAAGTGAAATTTAGTTCTAAAGATTTAAAATTATATTGTCAGATGACATGTCTACCTCTTTGTATTATATATCAACCAACAATAAAAGAGTATCAGTTTTTACCCTAATGATACTTTGTAATCTTTAATAAATTATAGATAGTATTTTAAATGACTTTCATATTCCTAGTGATATTGAAGCTTTTGACTTACAATAATTTACCACTATTAATTTTTTAACAGGAATTGTCCATTCATGATATTTGTCCATTTTTTCTATTATCATGTTTTCATTACTGTCTTTACAATGTACCAAATGCATTATCTATATCAAAGATTTCTATGCTTCAGATATATTTCCAAGTATGTTATTAGCCTCTAAATTCCATATATTTTTAATTTATGTGTTTTCTTTCTTTCTTCTTCTTCTTTTTTTTTCTGGAGACTGCATCTCACTATATTGACCAGGCTGGTATCAAACTCCTGGCTTCAAGTGATCCTCCCTCCTCAGCCTCCCAAATAGCTGGGATTGCAGGCATGAGCCACTACGCCCAGCTACGTGTTTTCTTTTAAAGATAAAGTATATACCATAGTATGTGATAGCACAACCTCAGGAGGAGTCATATTGTATCAGATTTAAACCCAAACTACATCACTTTCAGGCTTTGTAACCAGGAGCAATGTGTTCAAACTTCTAAACTACAGTTATATACCTCTATGATAACTTCAGTTTGTCGTTCTTCAGTAATAGTATCTCTCTCGTCACCTTGTTATGAGAATAAGCATTGAGAACAAAGCCTCTCACATATCATGTAATCAATTCATATAACATGTAATTTTTCCTAAAGGTAGCAATTAGTGTTAAGAATAGATAGGACAGCTATTTTTCCCTTGATTTTAACAATAGTGGCAGATTTAATAATACTAAACCAGATTTTATGGTTAAGAAGGCATTAATATCTAGATTCATTGGAATGGGAAGACTTTTCTTCAAGTAAGCACATGTAATCACTGAGAGTGAGCTGGCATTTTCTCAGGTGGATTCATAGTTTCATGATCTCTCTGAAGTAAACATGAAGTCTTCTTGATAAATAAAGGTAATATAACTTTCACTTATTAACTGTACAAAATAAGTCCTCAAATCTTATTAAAAAATTAGTCAATTCCTAATAATTAGTGACCAAAAGAACAAGAAAAATAAACAACTGACCAACAATAAATATCTACTAAGTAAGGCACTATATTAAGCAAAGATTAACACAAAATAAGCCATTTCCTCATGTGGAAATGCTAAAAAGATCTAATAATATAGTTAAAGAGTAAATCACATGCACTCAAAAAGGTGGCATTGTAGGGGGGAGGGCCATGCTTCAAATCATGGTTTGGGTTTGGCAAAGTCATAATATGTAACCAAAATGTTTGTACCCCCATAATATCCTGAAATTTAAAAAAGGTGGCTAAGAATGTAAAATTATAAATAATAAATGCCAAATTTTATATTAAAAATAAAAATAGATACTAAATAAAATTTTATCTCAGGACATGAAGATATTACAAGAGAATTCTGCTCCCACAGACCACACCTTCCATATGCCAACCTTCCATAACTCCACTTCCACTACTTTCCTCCTGACGGGGGTCCCTGGACTTGAATGGGCCCATGCCTGGATCTCCATCCCCTTCTGCTGCCTCTATTTAACGGCCCTTTCTGGGAATACCTTGATCCTATCTGTAGTCCTCACTGAGCCAAGCCCTCACGAGCCCATGTACTATTTCCTCTCCATGTTGTCCACCACTGACATTGGCTTGTGCACCTCTACTCTGGTGACAGTGCTGGGAATCTTCTGGCTCAATGCCCGGGAGATCGGCCTCAATGCTTGTTTATCGCAGATGTTCTTCATTCACCTCTTCACTGTCATGGAATCCTCAGTGCTCCTGGCTATGGCCTTTGATCGTTTCGTGGCCATTTCTAAACCCCTGAGATATGCCACCATCCTAACTCACCCAAAAATAACACAAATTGGTGCAGCAGTCATCACCAGGGGAACACTAATAATAACACCACCAGTCGTGCTTCTTAAGCGACTGTCCTTCTGCCGCAGCCATGTGCTCCGCCACTCCTACTGCTTCCACCCTGATGTGATGAAGCTCTCATGCTCAGACACAACGATCAATAGTGCATTTGGACTAACTACAATCATCTCCACCGCTGGAGTGGACTCCATCTTCATTCTGCTCTCCTACGTCCTGATCATCTGCTCAGTTCTCAGCATTGCGTCCCCGGAGGAGAGGAAAAAGGCCTTCAGCACTTGCATCTCTCATATCACAGCTGTGGCCGTATTCTACATCCCTTTGATCAGCCTGTCCTTTGTCCACAGATTTGGAAAACATGCCCCCGCCTTTGTGCCCACCCTCATTGCTAATATGTACCTTCTCCTGCCACCTGTGATGAATCCCATTATCTACAGCGTGAAAACCAAGCAGATTCAGAAAGCTGTGCTCAAACTCCTATGTTCCAAGGGAACTCGGATTTAACATTTACTATTCTTGGAAAGTTCTTCTAAAGTCTTTTTTTTAAACATTCACATGTTGGAGTTACAAATACACATCTTTCTAGGGTTGGGTCTACCTAGATGTTCCCCAGTCAAACTTTTAGTTAATGTACTTATCTTTCCATGACATTTGCTCCATTTCTGCTACATTTTTAATTCAGATATTCACTCCTGTTAAATACCCTATTAAATAGCTATAAGCAATTATCCCAGCTCACACTTGTAGGATTTTCCTGCTCTACACTGTCATGGTTTTCTATGTTAATATCCTAAATGTCCTATTTTACCACACTATTTTGCTTTAAAATAAAAACACATTCTAGATTTATGTGCTCATAAAATTGAAGTAGCATATTGTCATTCCAATTCTTAAGAACTTTCACCACCTGGACTTAGCTATTTCTTTTTTTACTTTAAGTCCCATTTTTTTCCATTGACCAACTCTGTCTCTTTACAAAATGAGGTGTTGACTCTTTTTTCAGACAAACTCAACTCTCTCCTTCCTCTGTACCTTTATTTGTGCTTGTTCACTTCTCTTGGTATCTCCACAATTGTCCCCTCAACATCTTCAAATTCCATCTACCTTTCAAAGCCCATCTAAAATATTATCCATGTTATATTTTTTCATGACCAGTACTTAGATTTTTATCCTTTCTTTTCATAACATTTTAACAATGTTTTAACTGCATCTTCTTAAGGTGCATTTGATTATCATGTCTCCCACAAGACTGTAAATTTCCTGAGGATAAAAAAGAAAAGTTTTATATTCGTTGAACTCTTAGAATTCCTAGCACAGTGACTTTCACATAGGAAATACTCCATGAATGTTTTTTAATTTTCCTCAACATAACAGATTTTCACCTTTTATATATGAATGATTGCTAAGATAATCCATCCAATTCTATCGATTGGACACCTAATATAATTTTTTAAAATTTCATGCTAACCCAAATGTTTCTCCTTATATAACAAAAATAATAATAATTCCGACTTTTATAAATTATTAAGTATAAGGCAACTGAACACCTTAATGTTGTATTCCTTTAGACTTATCTATTTACATACATCATAGTCAAAAGCCACGAATAAATTAAACCCTTTCCCAGATGTTGTTCATGAACTGTTTTAGATGGATGGCTTGGCCTTGTCATTCATCCCAAACATAGTGTGAATGTTCTTCCTTCTTTCCAAACCCCTTTCAGTACCTAAATCTATGATACAAAAATTCCTTAATTAAGTATGGCAGGAGTTTTCTATGTGGTCACCCTCTCTGCCTTATCCCATTCTATAATCTTCATGTCCATCAGAGTGACCATTTATTAAATTAAATTTTAATAGAGAATAGAATGATAGATACTAGAGGCAGTGAAGGGTGTGAAGGTGGGAAGGGAAAATGAAGAGAGGTTGGTTAATGGGTACAAACATAGGTAGAAGAAATAAGTTCTAATTTTGGATAGAAGACTAGGGTGACTATAGTTAACAACAATACATTGTATATTTCAAGGTAGCTAGAAAAGAGGACTTGAAATGTTACCAACACATAGAAATGATAAACACTTAAGGTGATGGATATTTCAAATACCCTGACTTGATCATTACGTATTCTATGCATGTAAAAAATACTTGCATGTACCCCATTTATATGTAAAATATCATATATCAATAAAATAAAAAAGAGTGATGTAAACCAATGATGTAGAAAACAAAAATTAAATTTTAATTATGTAAGAAATATATTCATATATTATTATTGCTAAATATGACATTATGGAAACACTAAAATTCTCTTTGACTGACTCTTCTGCATTAAATTTTCCACCAAAAACAGATACTCAAGACTTTGGTAAAGATAGTTTATTTTGAAAGTAAGGATGAAAAAAGGGAGATTGAAAAGGGGAAAAAGCAAATAAAACATATATTAATGAGAAGGTAACCACTGTGAACATCTGGAATTCAGTCCTAGTAAAATCACTTGAGTAACTCAAAAAAAAAACAGACCTCAGAATTTTCCCATTAGAGGACAGTGAATCAAACACATAGTCTTCTCACTCCTGTCTGTGTTCAGTGATGGAAGATTGAACTCTGGAGATATTAACTCCCTTAAACTACCAGGTTGTACACAGCGATGATACACTCCTCTAAAACCAGAGAAAAAGTCCTCAGGCAGTGAAGTGAAGAGTAGACATTAAAGATTGTAAGCTATAAACATAAAGGAAGAATCTATGTTCCAACTGCTGTAGGTGCTAACACAATATATGGTGGAGAACCTACACCATCTGCCACAACCCACCTCTATAACTACCCAGATTCATTTGTGCCTCATTTTGATTGTACCATGTACTAATGCTTCAGGATGCTAGCTGGCCACAGTCTGTAAGAAAGATTCAATAACCAAGGGTTAGTGAAGGAAGCATCAGTCCCCTCAGCAGCAGTTGGTTGTGAGGCACTACTTACAGAGGGGCACTGGGCAGGCTATCACCTTTGCCAATGGAAGCAAATGGGCTACTTGTTTCTCATCATCCATCAGGCTAGCTCTGCATTGCTCTACTGCTCAGAACACTACAAATTATAGTAACACAATTATAATTGAACAGAATTTTGAGTGGCACATATGTGAGTAACATGACGTTTTTGTTTTTTATTGCCAGTGCATACTTATCATGTCAAAAAAAGAAAAGTGAACTTTGTCTCTCACTTTTCAGGCACAGAGAAATATGGATTATTTTTACTCAAGCAGTGCTCATTGCGCAGTGCCACTATAGCTGTAGGACAAGAATGTAATACATACACATCAACATTATCACAATAAGTACTCATCACAATACTCTGAACTGACAAGAAAGCATCAGCCAAAAAATATGGAAAATTTAAATTGTAGTACCTCATCAAGCAAGGCTTCTGCAAAAATGAAAGATAAAAAAAAAAGAAAAACAGGCGGAGGGAAGGAGAAAGGGAGAGAGGAAATGAGGGAGACAAGGAGGGAAAAAAAAAAGGAAAGAACCGGGGAAGGAAGAAGGTAAGGAGAGAGTGAAATTAAGGCTGCAACTAAAATTTCCAAGCAACTCGTTTGTTATACCAAGCAAGGAACACCATTTACCAATGGTGAGTTAATGAAATCATGCTTAATTGCAGCAGCAGGAAAAAATGTATCCAGAAAAAATGAACTTATTTAAGACCAGGGGTGGGGAATCTGTGTCCTTAAGGCCATATGTGGCCTTCTAGGTCCTTAAATGTGGCCTTTTGACTGAATCCAAATTTTACAGAACAAATCCTTTTATTTTTACTAATACATTTTTGTTCGCCTTTTATATTTTTATTTTATTTTTAAAATTAACGTATTTAAAATACCAAAGAATAAAATAAGTTTCAATGAAATAATCCTCCCAGAATGACCAGCACAATTAGCCTAGTAACCCACAAGGGCTAAAATTGATGGCTGCTACATCCATGATTTAGTTCTAACTTCCCCCACCTGACTGTCACCACTACCACAGGAGGCTGGTTGGCGAGATTTTATGGGGGTTGAGTGTGCTGATCTGTTATCAGTTTTTACAATGGTGCACTGTGTTTCTGTTTGAAGTGGAATTTGTGAATAGTTGCAAAGCTCCACAGCATTTTTTAATTCTGCCTGCTTAACAGCCCATCATGTCAAAGAAGGCCAATAACACGCTGAAGGAAGAAAACAGATTTTTTTCATGAGGATTGGGAATTGCAATATTACCTTGTTTTGCTAAAGTTAAGATGATATTCTTGCTTTGTGATACTGCAACATCGACATTAAAGAAACTCACTGCTCATCCTCCATTTTAACATTCATAAGGACCACAAATATTTTAAATTAGAGGGATGATGGGATTAAGACCACTGGGACTTAATGATGCTTTGTCTGAGGCTGTGAGAGGATAGGAGGTGAAGGAATTGCCTGAGCAGAAGCCTGAAATAAGGGCAGATGTTAACCGCCTAGTTGGGGGACATATATCAGCAATCTGGGAGTACAGCAAAGCATGCTCCAATCTCAGAGCCTAAGTGGTCTCATGCATGAATAGCCGCGGGTGGCCTGACATGAAAACTTCTCATGGCTGTAGAGGTAGATTGCCATATGTCAGCCTGGGAGAAGGGTCTCAGGGCTTCCATTGTTTGAACAGTGGGCCAAATTCCTTCTCTCCCTTTCTCTCAACAATGCCTCAGTTAAAATAAAACCAATCTTCCAGTGGAAATCATGTAGTTACTTTGTTCCTTGATCAAATGGGTCACAGCTACTGAAGTTAGAGATTGATATCCACGTACATAGCTTGAGCTTGGGATAAAATTAGTTAGTTTACCTTGATCAAAGGGATTGTACCTACTGAAGAATTATGTGTTTTTCACTTCTAGAAAGGAAAAGGAAATTAGCTAGTACACCTTGTGATTTTGGGGGGAGCCCCAAAATCTTTGATCATTGTATCCCGTGATTTTTTCACATGAGATCATCGTATTTTGCAACATGGCAAAGAGATTCAAAAGCAAATGCTGGGTTTCAGTTGCCACCATCTTAGCACCAGAGTGTTGGTGGTCCCCTGACTTCCCCGCTGTCTTAAATACTATTTCTGTTTCCGTGTCTTTGTTTCATTAATCTCTTGCAACACAGTCTGCCAGGGGACCCTGTCTTTATTGGGGATGTCACGAACCCCCGATAGAGGGAGAGGCATGAAAACGTTGTATTGCAGAAATTAAAAGATGAAAAGCAAAAGCAAAGACAATTCTTTCAAGAAGCAACAAGACCTGGAAATAATGCCACTGAAGCAACTTATAAAGTAGTTTATATACTTGAGAAAAAAGGGAAGCCATTCAGTGATGTAGAAATTGTGAAAGGCTGCATTGTCAAAATTGTAGGATGTTTAGACCCCAAAAACGTTTCCAAGTACAAACAACTGACTCTTTCAAGGAGAATCATAATGGATTGGCCACATGAATTAGCCTTCAATTTAACAGAACAACTTCATG